TTTGGGTGTGTGTGTGTGTGTGTGTGTGTGTGTGTGTGTGTGTGTTGGTTTTGGTTTTTTTGAGACAGGGTCCCACTATATTGCCCAGACTAGTTTCAAACTGGGGGGCTCAAGAGATGCTCCTGCCTCACCCTCTTGAGTAGCTGGGACTACAGACACACACAGCAAGCCTAGCCCCTTTCATTTCTCAAAGGTATCAGAACTGAACTCCAATCTGAATCCTCTTCATGACTTCTGTGGCCTCCTCTCCCTTTATTGTTCACAGGCATTTCCCACAATAAATCTCTAGAATGAGAGCCTTACTGCTATCATTTCACTTATCATGTTATGTTATCTGCGTATCCATATGTCCTATTGCTCTGACATTCTTGAAGATCAAAAGAATGCCCTATCAATAAATTTACAGTCTACATAATACTTGAAATATACCAAGTATTTACTAAGTATCTTTCCTGACCCTGTTGTGTATGTGTGTCTGATGCTAGGGATCAAACCCATGGACTCATGTATGACAGGCAAGTGCTCCTCTACCACTGACCTAAACCACCCAGCCCTAAGTATTTTTTAGTGAAAAGCTGAATGCAAAGACAAGAATATCCAAATACAAATGAAACAATTAGTTACAGGGAAATTAAACACTGAGTACTGAAATACTCAGAAATTAAAACACAATTATTGCTAGGTGTGGTGGTGCAGGTCTGTAATCCCAGCAATTCAGGAGGCTAAGGCAGGAGGATCACAAGTTCAAGGCCAGCCTCAGCAATATAGTGAGGCTCTAAGCAACTTCAACCAAGAAGAATGTTTCAAAATTTTTAAAAATTTTTTAAAAAAGGGCTGGGACATGGCTCAGTGTTTGAGCTCCCTGGGTTCAATCCCTGGTACTCAAACAAAAAGCCACAATTGTCTATCATTCTGAGTTTTATTTCCATTTTTATCCCTGTGTCCTTAGGTAATCCTCTACCCATGAGTGTGAACTGGCCTAGTGACTTGCTTCTAACCAACAAAATACAGCAAAGATGACAAGTATCACTCTACAAATACACTACTTTAGACTGTCACTTCCTCTTTGTTATCTGACTGTCCCTCTGGCTGTCTTTGATGAAGCAAGAACCTAATTTGAAAAAACCCATGTGGTAAGGAACTGAGGGATAGCCAACAGCCAGTATTCAGAAACTATACTGTCAACAAGCACATGAGCTTAGAAGTGGTTCCTTCCCTGGGTAGCCCACAGAAGAGACCACAGCCCTGGTCAATGCCAAGACTGTAGCCTTGTTGGAGACTCTGAAGCTAGCACAGGTAAGCCATATCCAGTCTACTGACCTCCTATGAGATTATGAGATAATAGATGTGTACTGTTTTAAGCTACTAAGATTGTGATAATTTGCTATATAACAATATATAATTAATACAAGTATATTTGGAACCCAGGGCTGATTTAATGAAAAATAAATGCAAAGACAAGACTATCATATACAAATAGAACAATTAGATTCAGGAAAATTAAAACATAATTGTCTATCATTCACTTCTTGGATGCTAGAGGACTAAAATTAGGAGGAGGGGAGGGTGTTTATTAAATTTATTTGGGACCTTGTTCCAAAATAAAAAATGAAAAGGACTGCCCTTTTTATTTTTTATTTTGAGACAAGTTTTCAATAAGTTTCTCAGGGTCTCACTAAGTTGCTGAGGCTGGCCCCAAACTTTGTAGTTCCTCCTGTCTCAGCCTCCTGAGTTGCTGCAATTACATGCATGAGCCACTGAGCCCAGCTATCATTGATATATCCTAAATAACTAGCTGATCTACAGAAACAAAAAAATATATATACTTACTTGGAATGTAGAAAATATGCAAAAATCCTTCAGTGCCTTTCAATGATATACAGGGATCAGGTCTAACTAAAATAGGAAATTTAATGTCATCTAAACAGAAAAAAAGGATAATGTCAATAAGTTATTATATATCACTTCTAATAAATACATATATTCTATCATCCCCCAAAAGATGCCTTTTGCATTAAAATTATACAAGGACATCAGCAACATGATAGAGTAGAAAGCCCCTTGATTTACCACCACAAACACAACAATTCATAGACAAACTCCATCTGTTAAAAATCATAAACTAGGGTTGGGGTTGTGGCTCAGTGATGGAGCACTTGCCTAGCATGTGTGAGGCACTGGGTTCGATTCTCAGCATCACATATAAATAAATAAGATAAAGGTACATTGACAACTAAAATAATAATAATAATAAAGAAAAAAAGGTAAATGACCAACATTCTTAGTATGTTGTACTTCCAACATATTTACATACTGGTATTCAATAAATTATAAAAAGAATCACAAACTAATTAAAATTCTCCTACACCCAGGAGAACACAAAACCAGACTCACCAAAAACATCCAAGAGATTTAGGATAGACTCTCAGAGTTTCTTACCCCAGTGTAGCCCTATACAATATGGAAAAGACTTCCTAGCCCCTCGTCCCAATGAGGGGAGAGAAGAAATTGATTTGCATGTCCAGCATTCCAATTCTTCCAGGAAGTTCCCCAGAGGACTAGATTGTTGGAGCTCATATAGATCAGTCTGCCACAGTCTAGCTGCTTAGGAGAAAATGAAGGCCCTGGCTTGGATGGCAGATACTATTGATCCTCCCCTCTGCTCAGCACATTATGAGCTGATGGAAAATCCCAGTTCTCAGCTTCTGCCTGGGGAGGGAAAGAGTTGACCCAAACATCCAGCACAACAACTTCTCTGGGGATCCCCTAAAACTAGTATCTGTCTCACTAGTCCTAGAGATCCGACAGGTCTGGTGCAGTCTAACTATCTGGGAGAGAAGGCAATAGTTGCTTGGGCTCATAGATGCCATTCCCCTGAGGAATTATTGACTAAAAACTTCTCAAATCTGGGAAAGAAAAATCCAGGGAGTCTAAAAGACCTCAAACTAAATGAACTAAAAATATTTCACACCAAGACACATAATAACCATATTGTCACAAGTTAAAGAGAAAATTTTGAAAACACCAAAAGAAAAGAAGATGGTTGCTGATCTATGATTGGGGCGGGGGGTGGGGGGACATGGGGATAATGAAGGAACTTTGGACAGCACAAAGGGGAGGGTGGGAAGGGGTTATGGGGGTAGGAAAGATGGTGGAATGAGATGGACATCCTTACCCTAGGTACATGTATAATTGCACAAATGGTCTATCTCTGCACCTTGTACAACCAGAGAATTGAAATGTTGCTCTCCATTTGTGTATGATGAATTGAAATACATTCTGCTGTCATGTACAACTAAGTAGAACAAATAAAAATAATAATAAAAAAGGAAAGAAAACAGGATGGTTATGTACATGGGAAAAGAAGGAGAAGGAGAAAGAGGAGGAGGAGGAAGAAGAAGAAGATCCTTTAAACTGAATTTAATTCAACTGACTCAGCCAATCTGTAGAAAGCAAACAGAAACGGGGGTGGGGAGTACTGGGCACTGAACTCAGGGGCTCTCTACCATTGAGCTACACCCCCAGCCCTTTTTATTCTGAGACAGGGTCTCAATAAATTGGAGCCTAGCCTCAAACTTGTGATCCTCCTGCCTCAGTCTCCCAACTTGCTGGGATGACAGGTATGCACCAACACACCCAGTTTAAGACAAAGAGGATCTTTAACAGACTTCAAATGTTAATGAAATAGAAGGAAGGTGAGGAAGTTCTGGTTAAAATAATAGACTGTACAATTGAAAGGCTGGTAAAGAGTCTGACATGCATGGAGTGGAGGACCCACCAGATGCCAAGACACACACATGTTTCACAGGGAGGATTGTATGTTACAGCCCCTGCATTCATATGTTGAAGTCCTAACTCCCAATGTCACAGAAAGAGACAGAGATAGAGACTGGAGATAGAGATAAAGATTTTAAAGAGATGAATGAATTAAAATAAGGACATGAGGGTGGCCCCAATCCAATCGGACTGGTGTCTTTATAAGAGGAAATTTGGACACTCAAAGAGACACTAGGATGTGTTCACAAACAGCAAAGGCCTTATAAGGACATAGAGCAAAAGCAGCCATCTACAGATGTCTTAGTCTGTATTGTACTACTATAACAGAATATCAAAGACGGGGTGATTTATAAAGAACAAAATTACATTTCTCACTGTTCTAGAGCCTGGGAAGTCCAACATCAAGGTGCTGGCATTTGGTAAGGGCCTTCTTGCTATATCATCTCATGGCAAAAGGTCAAGAGAGGGAGAGAGAGTTTACTCTTCTGTTTATTTTATTTTTCATTTTATTTCTTTGCTTTTTTTCTTTTTCTCCACCCCATACCAGGGATTGAAACTGGGGTGCTATACCACTGAGCCACATCCCCAGTCTGTTTTTTGTTTTTGTTTTTTTTTTTGACACAGGGTCTTGAAAAGTTGCGGAGGCTGGCCTGCAACTTGTGATCCCCCTGCTTCGGCCTCCCGAGTTGCTGGGATTACGGGTGTGCACCACCACACATGGCTCTGTCTTACTCTTACATGGGTCAATTATTATCCTAATTCCCCAGAAAGGGCTCTACATTAGTATTAGTGTTTTTTCAGAACAGTCAAGACATATTCCCCCAAATAAAAATAAACTAGAAAATATTGTGTTTAAATAGGCTTCTTTATTACAGAACTTCTCTGAACTCAAAATACATTTGTCAGTCTCACTAAGATGATTAAGCCACAGATCCTTTTTTCCCCAAATAATTTCAAAGAACTTGTGTTTTGGGAAACATTACTTTCAACCATCCTGACATCACTAGTGAGTAGAAGAGGGCAGTCAACCCACGGTGAGCAGCTCAGTGGAAAGTACCAAACCAAAACAGCTGTCATGCCCTTCAGATTCTAGCCACTTGCCGATGAGAAAATGTGGGCGGGGAAAGGATGAGACACCAGCTAATAGCAACGGATATAACTAACTTTAAAAAGTCAATATTATTGTTTCTAATGTGACCCTCTTTTCAAATCTTTACCTCAAAGCAATCCTTAGAAAGTAGGCTCTAAAATCACTTTCATTTTTATAACTATAAAAGCTAGGGCACAGAGAGGCTAACTATTTTGCTCAAGATCACACACCTAGAAACCAACAGACCAGGAAGATGATTTCCAAGAGCCCTCTAAAATCACAGCCTCGAGCAGAAATAACCTCCAGTAAGCAGCTAGGAATGCTATACCTTTCAGGAAGAAGAACCAGTTATTCTTGGGGTTGAGGCAAAAAAAAAAAAAAAGGAAACAGTCCTCCTGAAACTGGGAAGAAACCGAAACTGGGCTCAAGGTAGAGACAACTGACCACAGAGACCCACAGAATCACTTGGGGGACAAGCACAAGAATTCAGAGATTTCTCAAGCTCTGTGAGGGGTCAAGCAGATGCATACAGAGAATGTGAGCAGCAGTTGCTTTCCCCCTGGGTAGCGGCAGCAGCAGTTCATATGTCGTGATAGCAGCAAGTTTCTTGTGAAAACTTCCCTCAAAGAGTTGAGTCCACAAATAACGAGTTGTTGCTGTTTTACTTACCACAGTAGGTGTAAGCAATGGTTGCATCAGAGGAGCTGCAGGTCCAGTGTTGCTCCTCAGGTTCAGTAAGTATGGAAGAAAACATAGTAGAAAAGAGCATAAATGATAACATAATGTGATAGCTCCAAAACTTTAAAAATGCAAAAAAAAAAATCGGTAACAAATCATCAGACTCTTCCTTCCAGTAAATAGGAAAAATTTAACTTAGTCATCAGTCACATGATTTCTGAGTTCCTATCCAACTGTTTCCTCTTTCTATGTGCATGTGTGACTGTGTGTGTGTGTGTGTGTGTGTGTGTGTGTGTGTGTGTG